GGAAATTTTCAACATTTTCCCATATTATTTCCCCTATGATCGAACCTATAAAAGTAATTAGGGTAAACGTTTTATCCAATTTCAAAAATGAATTCACCTTCTAACATTAAATTCATGTTATTCCAATCATACTAACATAAAATTAAATCAAAATTCAACCAACCTCAATAAACCCTAGCCATGATCGAATATTATACATGCTTTTATACTTGATTTTAATCATCACTTATTCTTTAGAATTAATCTACAACATCAATAACATAAAAATCAAACCTTGAATCTTCCAAATCAAACTTGTTTTTTGTGAACCCTAATCATGAACATCATCACCAAGGCATGTTTTCCATAAACTATCTATACCAAATGATAGAGAATCTCAAGAGGATTAATTCTCTATCTAATAGTTTAATCCTAAAATCAACCATGTAGCTTCAAAAATCAAATTGAAAATCTTACCTTGGTCGTTATGGTGAATTTGACCACTTGAAAAAGATGAAGAGAAAATGTTGATTTCTGTAGTATTTTCTCAAAATACACTTGGGTTTCAATTAATATAATTGAAGTTAAAATTCAATTAATGAGAAATCCCAAATTTACCATTAATGAATCTTGATAATTAGCATATTTCATTTCAGTATCTTCCATTAAAATATTTCTTAGTAAAAGATGAACCAACTTGAAGTTGACTTTCTACTTTGGCCATGCAAGTTTTGAAAATTGCAATTTAGTCACTAATTATCCCCAATTCTGCTTATTAAGGAAATTAACTTTAATTCCACTTATCAATGCTAAACTTCATTATTCTAAAATATGGAAATAATATTTTCAACCTTTATCTAGCATCCTTCAAATTTTCATGGAATTTCGGTTCGATCTGATTATCCGATTCCATAATGAACTTTACTACTTTATAGCTTTTGATACAAATTTCATATCAAAATTATGATTCCTACAAAAATGCTAATTTTTGAACAAACTATCCATTTACGGATAATCCTAAATTTTCCATTTATGAATCTTGATAATTACCATATGCCATTGCAATATATTCCATTAAAATATTCAATAGTCAAACATGAACCAACTTGGGGTTGACTTTCTACTTTGGCCATGAAATTTTTGCAAATTGTAGTTTAGTCACTAATTTTCCACAACGCTCCTAACACTTAATACTCGACTCATAACTATCGTTATAAGCAAACTATACTAAAGGAAAATATTTTCCCATGATCATTTGAAATCAATAACTCAATCGTGCTAAAATTCAGTCGAGTTCCCAAAGCTGTATGAAGAGACTTCTAAAACCTTAAAGTAAATTTCGGGTCTCTATCAGAAACTATCTAGACAGGTACTCCATGTAATCGTACAATCACTTTGATATATAAATCAACATACTTATCCATCGAGTAATCTGATCGAATTGGAATAAAGTGTGTTATTTTTGTCAATTTATCCACAATCACCCAAATCAAATATTTCTAACTAGGTGTCAAAGGTAAACCTGTTATGAAATCCATAGTAACTCCTTCCCATTACCACTAAGGAATGGAAAAAAGGTTGCAGCAAACTGGATGGCACCTGGTGCTCTACTTTCACTTGATGTCAGGTCAATCATTTAGATACAAATTTAGTTATACCCCTTTTCATACATGTCCACCAATATATGCTCTTTAAGTTTTGATATATTTTATTTCCCCTTGGATGTATTCTCAAATGACTATAATGAGCTTAAAAGAGAAGATCTTTCTTAAAATATTCATCATCAGGTATGCAAATTTTCCCCCGATAATATAAACACCCGTCAGATTTAACTTTAAAGTCTATAGTTTTGCCTTTATTCACTTGTTCAATCTTTTCTGAACATTTTTCATCTTTACTTTGAAGATCTTTTATCTGATCTAACAATGCAGGCCTCAACCTTACTTCTACAACAAGACAATCATCTATTTTCATAGATAATCGAGCATCCAAAGCTCTTAAAGCAGAGAATATCTTTCAGCTAAGTGTATCAACTACCATATTAGCCCTCCCACGATGATAGTCAATGACCACATCGTAGTATTTAAAAAGCTCGATCCATTTCCTTTATCTCAGATTTAATTTTTTCTGAGTTAACAGATACTTTAAACTTTTATGATCCGTATAGATGTAACATCGCTCACCATATAGGTAATAACGCCATATTTTTAAAGCAAAAACAATAGATGTTAACTCCAAATCATGAGTCGGATAATTTCTCTCATGTTTCTTAAACTGTCTCAAAATATAGGCCACAACCTTGCCTTCTTGCATAAGCACACACCCCAAGCTATTATGAGATGCATCACTATAATTAACATAGTCTTTACCAAATTCTAGTCGCACTAGAACTGGTGCCTCTGTCAGAAGTTTCTTAAGCATAACAAAGCTTTCTTGGTACTTTATTGTCCATACAAATGGCACATATCTTCTGAGCAATTCGGTGAGGAGAGAATAAATTATCTATAAATTCTTCACGAATCTCCGATAATAGCATCTAATCCCAAGAAACTTCGAACTTCATAGACATTTTTTTTAGTTTTCCACTCCATTATTGTTTGTACTTTCTTGGGTTCAACTATTACATCCGAATCTAGTTCGACTCAAATATCCATGGATTAAAATGTTACACGAGACTACCAAAATAGTAACCTAAAAATTTTCTTTAAAAACTATTTATAATCACTAAAAATAAACCATCCATAGAAATAAAATTAAAACAAGATAATATGGGTTTACAAAATGATGAGGAGCTCCCAAATTATATCTCAAAATAATATAATACCAAATACAAATTAGAGTTACAACTAAATACACATAAGGGTCTATATATAGTACATGCCCTCTAAAGATGACTCAAGATATACTATGAAAGTCTCTGAAAATATGGTCTATTGCACTAGAATATCTGGTGATGATAACTCCCCAAGAACTGCTCCTAAGAACCTGCGCACAGAAACACATTCTGAACTTTGAGTTTACGAGCTCAGTGCCTCACTAAAAACTATACTATACTACATAGTTTCACTAAATGAAATGGAAAGTGGCATAGGTATGAGTATACAACTATCAATCTACTAATTTGTGGCTGACATCATGGTACGACTGAGGGATTTTGCATCTCGGAGCTCACGCACCCCTCTAAGACTACCAATGTACCCTCGGGCACACCTAGGGTGAGTTATGGAATTCTTCATCGAAAACCTATACCCACCAACTTACTCCGTCGAGTCTTGGGGTAACTGTGCCCTGTTAGCCACTAAAATGAATGGCACTGACTTCGATCCACTGACTGTAGTATTCTTCCAGAATGAACTCAGGTGTCTAGGCTATTTCCCGAGCATCAAACAAGGCCAGTTTTATGTCAACCTAGTTGTCAACGTTTCCAATATTATGATATTATTTGATGTTATTGCTTGAAATCTTATTTACTTTTATTCGAGTGTTTTTGAGGTACCCCTGATCTGATTTAATATCCCTTGAATTATTTATCTAAAACTATCCATCAGTACCAATACATATCCCTTAATATCGATACTAAACCATTGGTATCGATACCCGCCTGCTGGTATCGATATACTGCTGACTGATTTGGTTCTTTGAATAAGATAGTATCGATACTCTTGGAGGAGTATTGATACTGTGTCCATGGGTATCAATATGGGACTGAGTACCGAAACCAAATTTATGTTCTACATTTCTAAAAAATAATCCCGGTATCGATACTCCCATAGGGGTATCGATACCCCTGCCTTAGTATCGATACTCTATGTGAGTTTCGGTACAAAAATTGTATTATGTTTAATTGGTCTCGATACCACCCAACTAGTATCAAAACTGGGACCCTAGTTTCGATACTCTAAGAATGAGTATTGATACTTACCTTTTAAAATTCCCCAATTTTAAGCTTGATTGAAGAACAATATTGATATTGTTCATACAGTATGGATACCCCTATTACGAAAGGATCTATTTTAGCTCAAAATATCCTATCTTTCTACCCAAAAACCCCTATTGAGGTCCCCAACTGATGTTTAAGTGTTTTATGTGATATTAAGGGTCATCAATAGGTCTAAAAACATGTTGAAACACCCAAATTATGCATCTACAATGGAAATGCTTCAAGCTCATGCAATCTACTACATTTCATCTAAATGACTTACACATGGTAAAGTTGAGTTAAAAGTGAGTTACCTAAGTGTCCTTGATGCTGGAAAGGGGAAATGGTTCAACCCAAGTTTAGCTTTTCTTTCCCCTAGTTTTTGAGCTTTCTCCAACCTTTTTCTCTATTCAGAAACAAATGCATGGGTTACCATATGATTTTTGGGGTTTATAAAGGTTGAAAAACACTTCTAAAGGTGTAAGCTTCTTCAAAAAAAAACTGGAACTCAAGGGTTCTCTAAACGCTCCTAAAACCCATTTCCAAAACCTTGGTCAAACCTTGTGTTTGGGAGCTTAAAATGTAACTAGGAATGTGGAGATGTTGATTCTTACCTTATCCGAATCTTGAAACACTTAGAAATCTATAAAATTTTTATCTTTTGGAATTAGTGTGAAGAATGAGATGAAGAGAAGAGAAGAGAAGAAAATAAGAGTTAGTGAGCAAGTGAGGATGGGGGTTTCAGAAGTGATATCACATTCTTTTATTGATTTTCAGCTTTAATTTTAAACCATGGTATAATTACACTTCTAGTTCTCCAGATTTTTGTTGAAAGTTAAAAATGCCTCTTTTTCCCCTTGTTGGGCTTAACTCAAGCCCAACTTTCCTTCAATTTGGGTCAAGGCTTATTCCATGCTAAGAATTAATCCAAGGCCCATCTTAGGTTAGCATAAAATTACTAACCTAAAATCTGGGGCGTTACAACTCTCCCCTCCTAATAAAAAATTCAACATCGAAATTTACCTAGATATAAGAAGTGAAGGTACTAAAACCGCATGCCCTCCTCTTATTCCCAGTTTACCTCCTCGATGCCATGGTTCCTCTATAGCACCTTTATCAAATGAATCCACTTGGTCCTTAACTCTTTTACTTCGCTTGACAAGATTCTAACTGGTTCCTTTGAATAGGTCATATATGAACTGACCTCTATCTTCTCTAAGGGTATGACGTTTGATTGATCCAAGTCATAATTTTTGAGCATAGATATATGGAACACATTCTGGATGCATTCCAACTCTGGTGGTAAGGCTAACTTGTAAGCCACCGGTCTAACTCTATCAAGTACCTCATGAGGTCCTATAAAGCGCGGGGTTAACTTTCCCTTGTGCCCAAAGCGGAGCACTCTTTTCCAAGGGGAAACCTTGAGGAACATATTATCCCCAACTGCGAACTCAATGTCTTCACGCTTTAAGTATATGTATGACATTTTCCTGTCTGAAGCTTCTCTTAACAGATTCTGGATCAACTGAACTTTCTTCTTTATCTCTTTGATCAAATATAGGACCACTTTCTTACCCTCACTAAGCTCTGTCCATCATAGAAAAGTACTACACTTGTGCCCACACAAGGCCTCATACGGAGCCATATGGATGCTTGACTAAAAGATGTTGTTGTAGGAAAACTCCACTAACAGAAAGTGGTCCTCCCAACTACCCTACAGATCAATGATAGTACACATGAGCACGTCCTTAAGGATATGGATAACTCGCTCTTACTGACCATGTTTTTGAGGATGAAATATTGTGTTGAAGTGTAGTTTGGTGCCTAAGGACTTATAGAGGGTTTTCCATAAGCAAGAAGTGAATCGAGGATCTTTGTCTGATATGATAGAGGTCAATACACCCTGCAACCTAACTATCTCATGGATATACAACTGAGGTAAACTCTCAAGGGTATAGTTCATTCTAACTGAAAGGAAGTGATTTGGTTAGACAATCCAGTATGACCCAAATTACATCGTGTCTCTGTCTGGTCATTGGTAACCCGGTCATAAAGTTCATGGTCACCCTATCCCATTTCCATTGAGGAATCTGAATGGGCTATAACAAAATTGAAAGAACTTGGTGTTCCGTCGTAACATGTTGACACACTAGACATCTAGTGATGAATTCTGACATTTTCCTTTTCATACACGACCAAAAGAATAATGGGCGAAGCTACCGATATATCTTGTTACTTTATGGGTGTACTGAGAGTGGACTGTAATGCTCTTCATGGAGAATATTATTGTGCAACTGAGAGTCCATGGGTACGTACAAATGACCCATGAAATACAATACATTTCTATTGTGAAACTTGAAATGACCTTTTCAATATGAGTTCTCAACCAGTCATCCGAACTCTGCAGTCCCTTGGTTTCATCTACTAATTCTGGTTCAAATCATAACTCGACTAACAACCCACCACCGCTAGATAAAATAAACCATGCTAGAAGGGCCCACAACTCTGTTATCGACTTCCTACTCAAGGTGTATGTTACAACATTAGGCTTTCCTGGGTGGTAGTCTATCATATAGTCGTAATCATTACGTAATTCGACCAATCTATGATGTCTGAGGTTTAACTCTTTTTGAGTGAGAAGATACTTCAGGATTTTATGTTCGGTGAAGATATGACACCTCTAACCAAAGAGGTAGTGTCACGAAATCTTTAAGGCGAACTCAATGACTGCTAGTTCCAAGTCATGGGTGGGATAGTCAAACTTATGAGGTTTAAGATGTCAGGATGCATAAGCAACAACTTTACCCTTATGTATAAAAATACATCCAAGACAATTAAACAAAACATCACTAAAAACCATAAAGTCCTTACCCGACTTGGTTGGGTTAATACTAGGTCTTAGGTCAATATGACCTTCAAATGCTCGAAACTTTCTTGTCGTTTCTTATTCTAAACGAAGCAGACTCCTTTCTGAAATAGTTTGGTCAATAGGGTGGCTATCATCGAGAAACCCTGAATGAATCAATAATAGTACCCAATTAAACCAAAAAAACTGCACACATCTGACACATTCTTAGGTAGCTCCCACTCTACTATGGGTCAAATTTTTCGAGGGTATACTCTGAGGATATCTATTGATACGATATGACCCATGAAGGAAACCTATAATAGCCAAAATTCACACTTCTCGAACTTGGTACACATTTGCCTATTTCTAAGCGTCTGGAAAACAACACGGAGACACTGATCATACTTGTCCTCTGATCGGGAGTACACTAGGATGTTATCTATAAATATCACCATAAACTTATTCAAGTATGGTCAGAAGACTCGGTTTATTAGGTTTATGAATGTTGTCGGGGCATTGGTGAGTCCTAATGGCATTACCAAGAACTCATAATGACCGTACCTTTTCTTGAAAGTTGTTTTTGCCATATCTGTATCTTTTACTTTTAGCTGATAACAACCTAACCACATATCAATCTTGGAAAAGACCCATGCTCCTCTCCGCTGGTCGAAGAGATAGTCTATCCTAGAGAATGAGTAATTGTTTTTGATGGCTAAATTATTCAATTACATGTAGTCGATGCACTGCCTGATCCACCCATTCTTCTTATTAATTAACAAGACCAACGCTCCCCAAGGAGAGATGATCACTCAGATGAAGCCCTTCTCTAACAACTCCTGAATATGAGCCTTTAACTCTTTTAGCTCTGTCAGTACCATGCGATAGGCAACAATGGACACCTGAGTTGAACCCCACATTACTTCAATGCCAGACTCTAACTCACACTCGGGTGATAGACATAGTAATTCTTCTAGGAACACATCGAGAAAAGCTCGCATTATGTGGATATCCTCGAGTGTGGGGGTTGAAATTCAGGTGTCGACCACATGAGCTTTCAAAATCGATATTATCTTTGTCTGAAGGGATCTCTCGTTTGTTATTACTAACTTGGTCTCATCGACTGTTCTAAGTTTAAACTGCCTGGTTTTGTACCTTAAACTAGCATCATGCTTGGTTAGCCAATCCATCCCCAAAATCATGTCAAAATCTCTAAAGGGTAACTCCATTAAATATGCGAGGAAGGTCTGATCCTGAATCCTCACTAGGCACCACCTGAAGAATTTGTCGCCAAGAATGTCTAAACGTAGGGGGCTTGAGACTCGAACACCTCCCCCCAGATCCCCTGCTAGAATTTATGTTTCTTGAACTAGGTCGGAGTAGATGTAAGAGTGGATGGAATCGGGTCTATCAAAGTGGTGACTGGTAAAGAAAAGGCTGTAAAGGTACCTGATATAACATATGTCGCGTCGACCTCCTCTCAGGCTCACACCGCACATTGTCTAGAGGTCACTCTCGGCTCTACACTAGTCACTAATATAATCGTCCCAAGGCTCTATTGTCTAGACATAGTGCTATCACTCCTAGATGGACCTCGGCCTCTATGTATTGATGGCGTCGAGCGTTGAGTCATCACTGATGTTGCACCCTGAGCTCCTAGATAGTCTCTAGCAAAATGATCCTTGAAGCCGCAAATGTAGCAATCTCTGAATCCCAACTGGCATGTCCCTAAATGTCTCTTCTTGCATAAAGTACATGTGGTATTGGTATACCTTCTAGACTGCTCACTGGAAACACTCCTCGAAGTTATGTTTAATGGTCTTCTCCTCGAGTCGGATCTACCTCTACAACTTAAACTATGCTTGGTCTTCCTTGACTGAGATACTAGAGGCCTCGAAGAACCCTGATTATTCTTGGCCAGAGTTTGACAATGTCTCACTGACTCAGTGGCTCTTCCAAACGATCTTGTCGTCTCACTGAACTATCTAGCCTATCACTCCAAAGACCTCTTAATCGTCTTTACCTGGTGGGTCAGCTGAGCTAAGACCCTGGGAGGATCAGCTGTAAGGTAGGTCAATAATTTACAACAAAAGCCTTCTCTGAACCGATAATAGCAATGTTCCTCAGTCGGTATCAACTCTGCCACATATTTACTAAGCTTGAGAAACTCTCACTCATACTCCAACACTAAGCGATCATCCTAACTCAAGTACAAGAACTGATCCATCAGATCATTAGTGTGGATTTACCCAATGTACTTCTTTCTGAACTCAGTGAGAAACTGCTCCTAAGTCAGCCTCTTTGGCTCTATCTCTACCTCTAAAGTTTCCTACCAATCTATTATGTCTCCCTTAAATAGGGATGTGACACACTTTAGGTTACCCATTGGGGTAAGATGCAACTGTCTAAGGGTGCAGAGCGTCTAGCTGAACCACTGGTCTTCTACTATCTGATCCTCCTCCTCTAAACCAAATAACTGAGTTGTCTTATATCTATGGAGTTGCTCTACTGGGACACATGAGGAATATGCACTAGCTGAGTTCGAGGTATTGGTGAGGGAGGTGGTACAACTAAAGAACTCAGGAGAGACTTAGCTCTCTGTCTAAGTACAAAGGTGACGTCCCTAAAAAAGGTCACCTCCTCAACCATTTATTAGGCCTTATGCTGAGAGATATCTAGGATGAACTCATCACCTGCATCTAATGCTATTGAGGCATGACTCTCATCTCTGACGTCCTGACTATGGGCTGGATCGTCTGCCATGGGTTCTTTATGAAATTAGAAAGTGAAAAGGGGTAATTATTGTCATTCCAGTTGTTATAGTACTCTTGACTCCCTAAAAGCATGTACATATATAGATAATGACTGACTCTACAACTAAAAATAGATGCCCTGATACCACTAATTGTAACACCCTAATCCAGTTCGACCCAAAAATCCATGGATTACAATGTTATACGGATCTACCGAAATAGTAACCTAAAAATTTTCTTTACAAACTATTTATAATCACATGAAAATAAACCATCCATAGAAATAAAATTAAAAGAAGATAATATGGGTTTGCAAAATGATGAGGAGCTACCAAATTATATCTATAAATAATACAGTTCCAAATACAAATCAAATTTACAACTGAATATACATAAGGGTCCATATATATTACATGCCATCTAAATATTACTCAAGATGTACTTTGAAAGTCTCTAAAAATCTATTATGTTGCACTAGAATATATGGTGATGATAACTCCCCACGAACTGCTCCTAAGAACCTGCACATGAAAACATATTCCGAACGTTGAGCTTACAAGCTCAGTGCCTCACTAAAAACTATACTATGCTATATGCATTCACTAAATTAAATGGCAAGTGGCATAGGTCTGAGCATAAAATTACTGAACTACTAATATATGGCTGGTATCATGGTGCAGTTGAGGGATTCTGCATATCATGGCTCACGCTCTAGCACTACCGATGTACCGTCAGGCACATCTAGGGTGAGATCTAGAATTCTTAATCGGAAACGCACCCCTGTTAACTTAATCCATCATGTCTAGGGGAATCTGTGCCTATTTGGCCACTGAAGTGCATGACACTAACTTTGATCCACTGACTGTCTTATTCTGCCAGAACGAACTTGGGTGTCATGCATATTTCTCGAGCATCAAACAATGCTAGCTTTATGTCAACCTAACTGTCATTGTTTCTACCGTTCTGATATTATTTACTGTTATCGTTTGAAGTCTTATTTAATACTATTCGAGTGTGTTTTGGGTACCTATGGTATGATCTAATATCCCTTGAATTATTTATCTAAAAATATCTATAAATACTGATACGAGTCTCTTAGTATATATAATAAACCATTGGTATCGATACTCACATGCCCTTATCGATACCCTACTAATTTATTAGGTTCTTTGAATAAGATAGTATCGATACTCAGGCTATGGGTATCAATACTGGACTGAGTACCAATACCAAATTTAGGTTCGATGTTTCTGAAAAATAATATCGGTATTAATACTCTCTTTAGAGTATTGATACCTATGCCTTGGTATCGATATCTTATGTGAGTATCAGTACAAAAATTTTGTTATGTTCAATTGGTCTCGATACCAACTAGCCAGTATCAAAACCGGTACTACTCTAAGAATGAGTATCGATCCTCCCCTTTAAAAATTGTCACATTTTAAGCTTAACTGAAGAATAGTATTGACATTGTTCATACAGTATCGATACCCTGCTACGAAAGGCTCTGTTTTGCTTGAAAGATCCTATCATTCTACCCCCAAAACCCTAGTGAGGTCCCTAACTGATATTTAAGTGTTTTATGTAATATTAGGGGGTTAAAAATAGGTTTGAAAACATGTTGAAACACCCAAATCATGCATCTACCATGGAAATGCTTTAAGCTCATGCAACCTACTACATTTTATATAAATAACTTACACATGGTAAAATTAAGTTAGAAGTGTGTAACACCCCAAATTAGCGATAAAATTATGAGTTTTTGAAACTTATGGATAGTTTTATTAAGTATAGGAAATTTGGGGACCTAGTCCTAAATTTCCCCATTTTTTATTAATTTTGGAACATAAACCCCCTCATCTGATCGCCTTCTCCAGTTAAAACAAAAACCCCCAAAATTATCTCCCCCACCGACCCTCTTTGTCACTCGATTTCACCGCCGTCCTACCACTGTTCGTCTCTTCAACGCTACCAATAGACTCACCGTCTAACAGAGAACAAAACCCGACCCTTAGCCCACTGTGAATCACCGCCATTCACTGTGAAACTTACCGGGAAGTTTCATCGAAAACCATCTGTCGCCGAGTGTATCTTCACCAATTATGGATGCGTCCGACATTGTTTTGCCTCACCGCCGCTTCTACTGCACTCACCGTCGCCTTACACTCAAAACCCAACCGATTTTATTTGGTGTTAACTAGGTGTCGTCGATCGCCGTCGTGTGTAACTTACCAATCAGTTTTGAGTTTTTTGGTATGGTTTGATGGTGATTTTGGATTAGAATTGTTTGTAATTATGGCCACGGTGGTGTTGGGAGTGATCGGCCAGTGAGAATGGCCCCTATCACCACCGTACGCGCCGCAACGCGCTGGTAGTGCGCATGATGGTCTTTGACCGGTCCGGGAAATTTCTAGACCTGGTTCAGGAAGATCCAACCTGCCTACCCAACCCGTCTACCTGGCCCATTGACTTTCCCAACCCATTGACTTTGGTTAGAGTTGACCGTTAACCAATTAGACCGTTGACTTTGATCGGTGTGACCCTTGATCGTTAAATTTGATTGAAAAAGTATATCGTTGATAGGTGGATCGGATCTGCCTGAACTAGGTCCAGAAATTTGATTGAAAAAGTATACCGTTGATCGATATGGCACAGAAATCAAGGTAATACTCTACTAGCCTTTGTATACTTTTTGAAAACCATTGACAATTGGTACATGCATGAATGGATAAAATTGGTCCATAAATGTAGTTAATTATTATTGGACTCAAATTAAATTTGGAATAAATATGGAGCATTTTAAAAGCCTCAGACAACTCGAAAAAGAATTTGGTAGATTGATAGAAAACAAATTTCAATTCAATGAATAAATCATTAAATCGATTAATCTCAGAACACATAAATTCTGATTAATATCGATAAAGATTAAATGATGGAAATATTTGGACAATAAATTACCAATAATAGCTCTATGTGATAAATTTACTAAAATGCCCTTCTACTGAAAAAAGAACAAGATTTCCCCTAGTGGTGAAATTAACCTCCAGTGATTAAATGAACAAAGTACTCTGAACTATAAAGGAACTAGAATACTTTCGAGCTTAAGTTATTCGAAGTAATTCCACTGACATAATTGGCTGAAATAATGATAATACCCTTAAAGTGTAATATGATTCGAAGCACGTCCCAGCCCTGGAATAACTAATACCTAAGCTCTAAAATGAACAAATCAAGCTCATATACCAATATGATTATATTATATAACCAAGTTAAACGGAATGAAAGTCTAGTATGTATTCAAATTTTGGAAATGATATAATTACTCTGGAAACGCTGATTAACTTACATGATGTATCATCCCTAAGATATTCAGTAATGATTTTGAAGATGATTTATGGACAAGAGTTGTTAGTATTAAAGAGTGACTACCCTAGAAGTGCAATGAATTGGTCGGTTGATATGCATTAGTGATGGGAGTTGTTCAGATTGAGTTAACTCGATATTCCGATAGATTGACACAAATATTAAATGACATGAAACTTTATTTCTTCCTTATCAGCTCAAATCACTAAGAATTCTCCAAAAACATAATACCCAAAATGTCTCTGATTTCTTGATTAATGGAATCACTCCTATTATATCTGAAAACATGAGTAACTCATATGCAAAGGATTCTGAATACCTTTCTGATCTCCTAATGTCTTCGAAAAATGTTCGAATACTATATGATCCTGATAAATCACGTTATTAATAACTGATGATTTTGTCAGCTAATAAATTTTTTCGATGGTGATCCTATATTCTGGGAATCTATCGGTATACTAAAGATATGTGTTTTCCTTGTCCAATAAGATTATTCAGTATCTCCAAATAATATATGGAACCTCTAGTGTGTTCCCTGATCACATGGATTTTTTCTTTGATTTATGTTCTAATATGTACTCTGATTTCTAATATCTCTATTTACTAACTGAAACTGTTTTATTTGGGGTACTCTGGGATTTGGTATGAATACTCTAGCAGGTTCAGTCGTTGCGGGTAATTACTTGTATAGGTTCTGCATTGACCGGCCATTCCTATCTCTAGAAGGTTCAATCACTATTGGTAATTCCTTTTATAGGTTCATCACCAACTGGTAATTCCTTATGGACCTTAGGCAACCCTTGGGTATGCTCTGAGGCCTCGAGAATCTTTCTTTGGTAGGCTTTCAGGCCCCAAGGTGCTACCTTAGATTATGCAGTTCTGGGGAGCTGCATATGGCAATCGGTTGGAGGGACTATTATGGTTTTGAAAACAAGTTTTAAATGATTATTGTTTTAAAAAGATCTGTATATTTTCACTGGTTTTGTGAGAACACACTAGACACCCTATTATGATCTCTTGTAACTAAACATCTGAAATATTTCCATATAAACTGAAAGCTTACTGTCTGTTACTACTTGAGATATCATTGGGACCTCATCTCAGCATAAAATTTGTATATGTCTGAATCAATGAGGAAACATGTGCTTATATGTTATATGCATGTTCTGTAGCAATAATTAGTAGTACTGTATTACTGAGCTTTCCAAAGCTCATTTGTTACTCACTATTTCAAGTTAAAAAGGATTTAACCAGTGCAACTATCGACATCGGTAAGGGAGTTTCACCGGCATTGCTTGTGAAGTATGGTGTATGTGTTTAGGCGGCATGTAGGTTGTATTTTGTTTTTATATCTAAGTCTATAAATTTGTTTTATTTATGAATATTGGTAAATTTTACTTTTCTATTTATAAATGGTTTTATGACTTTACGTGTTTTAACAGAAATTTTAATTTTTTAGTGATTTTTACGGTGGGTCGCTCTGGTGACCCTAATGTGACACCCCGGATCAAATCACGTCACCCGTATCTGTCTGAGGGGTTACAAAGTGAGTTAACTTGAGTGTCTAAGAGCTAGAATGGGGCAATGGCTCAACCCAAGGTATTTTTTCCTTCCCCTAGCTTTGGAGCTTTCTCTAACCTCATTCTATAAGCTAAAACAAATACATGGGTTACCATTTGATTCTAGGGGTTTAGAAATGTTTAAAAACACTTCTAAAGGTATAATATTCTTGAAATAAATATTGTAACTCAAGGGTTCTCTAAACGCTCCTAATACCCATTTCTAAAACCATAGCCAAACCTTGTGTTTGAGAGCTTAAAATGAATCTGGGAATGTGGAGATATTGATTCTTATCTTATCTTGATCTTGAAACACTTATAAATCTATAAAGTTTCAGACGTGATATCACATTCTTTTATTAAATTTATACTTTAATTTGAAACCATGGTCTAATTACACTTATGGTCCTCTTGATTTTGGTTGGAAGTTAAAAATATTCCCTTTCCCCCCCCCCTTGTTGGGTTTAACTCAAGCCCAACTCTCCTTCAATTTGGGTCAAGGCTCTTCCAAGTTAAGAATTAATCTAAGGCCCATCTCGGGTTAGCCTAAAACTCCTAACCCAAAAAATTTGGGTGTTATATCAACCATGATTCCCTCTACTGAAATCATGTGGCCAAGAAAAGCAACTTCTGGTAACAAGAATTCACACTTTGATAACTTGGCATAAAGCTTTTTATCTCACAATGTCTGAAGTACAGTGCGGACATGTGCATCGCGTTTTTCTTTAGTCTTGGAATAAACCAAAATATCATTAATAAACACAACAAAAAATTGATCCATGTACGGTTGGAACACCCAATTCATCAAATACATAGATACAAGGGCATTAGTCAATCCAAATGACATTACTACGAACTTATATTGACCATATCGGGTTCTGAAAGTTGTCTTCAGAAAATATTCCTCTTTAATCTTTAATTAGGATACCTGTATCGAAGACCAATCTTTGAAACTACTGAAGCACTTTTAAATTGATCAAATAGATCATTGATCCTCGGAAGAGGGTATTTATTCTTTACCATCACTATATTCAACTGACGTAATTTATTCATAATCGTAAAGATCGATATTTCTTTTTAACAAATAATATCGATGCACTTCATGGAGATACACTCAGTCTAATAAAACCCTGATCAAGTAGCTCCTGTAAGTCTGCCTTTAGCTTATTGAGTTTAGTCGGATCCGTTTGGTACGGGGCCATTGAGATAGTTGCAGTACCCGAAAAAATATCAATCTTAAATTCCACTTCACGATCAGGAGGTAATGTGGATAGTTCATCAGGGAACTCATTCGAATATTCCTGAACTATCAGAATATCCTCTAACTTAACCTCAGATGCTCAGGTATCAATCACATTAGCCAGAAAAGATTAACAACCTTTTGACATCACATTGGACAATTATTTATATTTTCCTCCATTTACTATTATTTCAGAACCCTCTGCATCTTTAAAAAAAATTGATCCATTCCCAAAATAATCTACCCATCCATAATGCTGAGATAACCAATCCATGCCCAAAATAATCTCGAATTCATCAAACGACAATTCCATAAGATTCTCCTGGAACACAACCCCTCGAATCTTTATCAGACAATTTCTGCTTATCTGCTTTAATCTAGCACTATAACCCAGTGGATTTGTAGCTATCTTATCACTATCAATTGGTTCTAACTGAATACCCCTTTCATTGACTAATTTTGAACTAAAATAGGAATGCGTAGAACCCATATCAATACATGATCATCATAAAGATAGAAAGTACCTGATATAATCTCTGGGTCATCGGGATCCTCCATTCTTGATGTTATAAACTTTGGAATAAGCACGTACATCATACTAGGAAGATGTCGCTAAATATCCCCTTCCTCTACCTTGGCCTCACTTAGACACTTATAGAGACCACTTTGTCTGAACAAATCTCTCTCCTACAATCGAACAGTCTCTAATAAAATGAACAACGTCTCTACAGTGGAAACAAGCTCTTGAACCAGGTCTGTATGCTCCAGGGTGAGTTTTACCACACTGTTGACATGGTAAAAATTGACCATGTGCTTGAGTTGATCTACCAACTCTAGTAGCTTCTGTCTGAGTCTATTGGCCTTTTTCTTTAACATTAGATCCATTTTGAATAGAAGAACCACCTTTTAACTTATTCTAGTACTGAGAATCTGAACCTCGACCTCTTCTAGACTAAG